AACTTCGTTTTGAATCGACATCAAGGCAAATGCATTCAGTTCCTTATCCGTCCGCAATGTATCTTTTATGTATTTTACCTTCGAAAAAGAACGTTCATCTGGCCCGTTTTTAATGAACAACGATGTAAAAATTCGCAGCATAACATCAATATTCGGGAAAACGGCTTGAAGTTGTTCTTCATGGATTTTCAAATGGATTGAAGCGTGCGAAACAAGAGTACCGGAACTTTCGAAGAAATATTGTTTGACGATTTCGCATTCAGAAATCAATTCGTTTGCATCAAGACCATTTTCATAGAAGGATGCAATTTTATTACAAGCCTTTTGAGATTTGATCGATGTTCAATTTGTTTAATTTAGTTATAAAACTAAATTTGTCGTTTATTTGAAGATAACTTCCCATTCGAGTCTTGTCGTAATGTCGCGAATAGCGAATTAAGAAGTCTCATTGCGATTGTGTGGTGTGTACTGCCACTTTACTGTTGAAAATTTACATGCTCAATGGTGAATATAAAACATGAAGAGTGTTGAACTTTGTACTAATATTTAAGTGAAACATTTGAAACAGTGTTAAAATTGCAACTGATTTTTAAAAAAAATTCAAAGGGCACCAACAAATTTTAGCCTCAGGGCACCACAAAACATTAACTCGGCACTGAATACCCATTCACTGCGGTTTCGCGTTGAATATGATTTTTGTATGCTTAATTCTAAGGCGACCAAAGTTATAATATATTAACAATGCATTTAGCCATTTTTAGTATCACTGAGCCATCGTCTCGTGGCTTGTCTAGCAAATTGGCTTTAAGTGTTTCATTGAAATTGAAACGCTTGAAGTGATACGCAGCAACATTTTTTTCGACTTTTCTTCACTCAATTTTTCTTCTTTCTATTCATTCCATCTTTTCGTTTTCATCTGCTCATTCCAACGTATATTTTTGTCTATTTATCGAGAAAAAAAAATGTTGGTAGCGACTTTGTCGGTAATCCAGCCACTTGATTGTACTTCCGAATCGGTCGAGTTTTTGTTTCAACGTACCGTATTCGTATCTAATTCGTTATGAAAGGCAGAAGTTGTGTGTGTGTGTGTGTGTGTGTGTGTGTATGTGTTATTGTAATAGCTGCCCTGTAATTAAAGCGTTTTGTTAATTTTTCCACTTTTTCCAAAGTTTACATCGATTCCTGTCCCTCGTTGGCTTACGGCCCGCTCATTCAGTGCAAAATAAAGAAAAATGCCAATGTAATCAAGTATTGGAAGTTAATATAAATGCAAATTGTGCCTCAATACATCATTTTCTATGATACCGGAATATGGAAAATGGGAAAGAACGCGCCAGTCAAGCAAGCCAGTCAGGCAGCCAAGCAGCCGGTTCAGGGAGTGAGGCAGAGCAACGGCAACCAGAACTTGTGATATGAATCGCTATTATTCAAACTTTTGACAAGCAGATAAATTCAAAGCGCTTGCGGTATTTATTGCGTTCTGATGTGAGTTGCGGTTAAATTAAATATTTTAATTGTAACATATTGCAGCACTTTGCTCATTTGATTTGGAATATAGTATAATAATATGCGGATGATGCAAGAGAGACAGAGAGAGACAGAGAGAGAGAGAGAGAGACAGAGACAGAGAGAGAGAGAGAGAGCGAACGACCCGGAGAGTACATTAGTCAAAGTTATTTTCTCGTATCAGTCAGTTATTGACATTGATTTTACATTTTACACTAATGAATCGAAAGGCACAACTAAATTGGAATATCATAACAAGAACATTGAATTAGCAACAGCAGCAGCAACAACAGCAACAGTATCACATAAAAAATCAACATGAAATGCGCTCGGCATGGCAACATCGACACGCGCGCATACATATTTTGATGGAGAGATGGGAGAGAGCGAATGCACGCGCGAAACGCACACAGACAACATTTGCCGAATAGTCAGTTTGATGGGTGAAAAGTCGACACATCATTATTGGCTGTGGAATTAAATCGGTGGCAAAATGTTTCGGTAGGCAAAAACGAATGACATGTAATAAAATTCATGCATTTGACGAGAGAGTGTGTGTGTATGTGAGTGCGAATGAGAGGTAGAGCTGGAATGGGACCTGCTAATATAATTACAGTCATTTATTATCGAAACTGAGATCTGGCTGTTGATGTTAACCAGTATCGATAAATTGTATTGCTGCGCCAACGCTCGCGCCCTTTTATTACGACCAGAATTTAAATTCGGAGCATTCACCAAATCACTAAATTAAACCACAAAAAACGAAATATTTATCAATAAGCAGAGCGTCACATTTTTCTCACACGCACACGGTTGCGAAAGTGTGGCGAGAGAGAGAGAGAGAGAGAATGGGAAAAAATAATCGAAAATTTCCATGTTCGGTTGTCATTTAATGGCGTTCTTGTTTCCATCACAGTTATATTATTCTCGGTGTGTGTGTGTGTTTTTGTGTGTTGTGTTTTTCCCTTACTTTTCATCTCCGTTGTGTTTGCGGTGTATCTGTTTCATTTTTGGCTGGTGCCAATGATAATAACCATGGAATTCGTTCGGAAAATTTGGATCGTAAATTTGAACGAGGCTCGACAGTGAAACGAGAAAATGAAATTTGTATGTATGTATGTATATTGTATATTGTGTATAGCAAATAGCATAAACAATCAGGCGATACTCTTTTTTGTGTCTTCAATATGATTTTTTTACAGTCCTTTTCTTATAATCTCCGCCACATTAAACATATACATGCACAATGATAAAGAAGTAGCAATTGCTGCGGGCCATAGACTGAACGGAGCCCACGAATGAAAATATCGAATACGAATACGAAGAAAACTATGAAGAAAAAAAATGTGAAGAAAACATGCATTTGCAGAGCATTCGCAGAAGAGAAAGAAGAGAAAAATAACGACAACAACAACGCACACTCCCATACAATACGAGAAAATATTCATTTCCAGCATTCGATTTGTTGGTTTGCTTGTTTTCTACCTAGCCGATGGCCCCACGATTCAAACATTTTGTGATTTGTGTGTTATACAAAATGGTTTTATCCCGTATAACGGATTGGAAATAACGGATCGACGCATCTTTCTTACTTTCTGTTTTCTGCGTTCCACTCAAATCCGTTTTGACTTTGTTTTGTCGATTTTGCGCTGCTTGCCCGCAGAATGAGTTTTTTCATTCATTTTTGCAATAATTTTTTTGTGGAAGTCAACAGCAACACATTTTCTACCTTTCGTAATTTTTTTTTTCCTTTATTAATAGCTCTTGGCTGGAAATTGTTGGAAAATTATTGGGAAAAATGAATGTGGATGCAGAGCAAAGTAAAGTTTTAGATTTGTCATGACAATAAAGCAAGTTATCTAGCCAATGCTACCTTTGGTCCGTGGCCGGGAGGGCGGGCGGATGGTCGGTCGGTCGGTCGGTCGTACGAAGACGGTGAATAGAGAGTAAGACACGCTCTGTTTGCATGCTTGTAGTCAATTCGGTTGTACCAATAAATAGAACTGATAAAAGCGATGAGAAAGCATCTCAAACTACAATCGAGACTATGATTGCATATTTTCGAACGGAGCGAGTGTGAAGGGACAACTGTTCTTGGTTTTGACGATTTTCGGTGGATGTTTCAAGTGTGGGTATATTTTTCTGCACTTTTTGTTGCGTGGTTGTGTCTCAGAGAGAAAGAGAAATTCTGCTGGCTCTGATATAACTGAGAAAGTGCTGAAATTGAAATAGATTGGCATTTTTTCTTATTGTTGTTGTTGTCGGTCGCTTCCATTCCGTTTCGTTTTATTAAGTTGTCTCCGGTTGTGAATTGTTGATGTCAATGTTACAAACCCAGTGCGCCACGGTCGAGATTTTTCGATTTTGAACGAATACGTGAGCGAATGAATGAGATAGAGAGGGAGGTAGAGACCAAAACTCGATCTCTCGGTGTTTGTATGTATGTGTCTATGTTATGCTTTCACATGCGAATTGAAACTGAAATAACAGCACACAACCATGAAAGTTAAATTGAAGTCAATTTAATCGGAATCGGAAAAACGATGAACACAAAATTGATGGTGATGCGAACGACTCTCCGTTTTGTATCTGAAATAAATCTGATGGAATTTCCATTGATTCTGTCTCTTTCTGCTCGTTCTCTCTCGATTTTTATTTATGTTTTCGTTTCGGGGGGCTCTGGATTCGAATTCGGCTTGAGGAAAAGAACGAGCAAGAAAAAGAGAAGAGAAATTCTCCATAGACAATTTTCAATGACATATCTTTCACTAGATCGTCTCGTATTCTCCATTGTCTACTTATGTTGTTGGGACCCTGATTATGTAACTACTTGGTTCATTCACCGGCAAATGCCAAGGAAAAATGATTAAGAGCAACAACAATACTTCCGTTGCAATGGCAATACAAGACAACGAGTGAAGCGAAAGAGACGGTGTGAGAGAGAGAGAGAGAGAGAGAGAGAGAGAGAGAGCAAAAGCGTTTTTAAGCAGCTGTAATACTTCCGTTGTCAGCATTTCGCAATGGGATCTCAAGTGAAAATACGCGCACAGTAAGAACAACATTCAAAGAGGAAGTATTGATTTAGCGAGGGAACGCGAGCGCGCGCGCGAGAGAGAGAGAGAGAGAGAGAGAGCAAGTGATAATAATGTTCGATTATACGAAACGCTCTTCGCTTCAATGTGCAATTTATCGGTTTTCATGCATAACTAAAAGCAGCCGCGCGCTCCGCATTTTATATTGAATCCCGGTGAATGGGATCCGTTTTGCACTTGCCGCTTCTAGCACACACACACACTGAAAACATGGAAGGAAGAGTGTAACGACAACCAAAATAAAAAAGGAAACGAAACGAAGTAAAAAAAAAAGCACGAAGACTATATAGATCTTCATGGTGGAGGAGAACTGAACCGAAAAGAACAGAAAAGAAACAGGAGCTCAAAGCCGTGAGAAACCGCTTAATGTCTAGTAATAAAGGAAATGTTCATGGTACTTACATTGTAATGCGATAAAGCAACTAAAGAATATCCAAAGGCGGTAGTCGAATTGCGATATCATGACGTCATTCCTAACGCGATAATGTGTTTGGCTAGGTCGCTGTTTTGATGAGATTTTCGTGTTGATTTGCTGATTATGTTGGTGATATTGTTTATCGTTTGTGGCCGTTATTGTTTGGCACACACTATCGTCGACTTTAGCCTCAGTTCCTACTTCTGCGTCTTCGTTTTCGTTTTCGTTCACTTTGCGATTGAATCGCGGTGATTCGAGTGATTGCTCCGTCTTGAAGTTAGCTTTTAATACATGCACTTTCACACATTGGCTACGGTAATTCAACCGAACCAACAATTCTGCGTTCACGCTCTGAATCACGGCCTATCGATAAACGCGTTTTATGTCGCTACTGCAACTACTGCTGCCGCTGCTGCTGCTGCTGCTTTAATTTATTGAGCGCGCGACTCTTTGTGTTGGGTAACTAAATTTATTTCGTTCGACTGATAATAATGTTTAATAACTATTTTCGTCGACGGCGACAGTTTATTTTCGGTAGTTTATTAGACGGAAAATGCGTGGCATTGATTTAATGCACGGATCTTTTTAATACACTGGTAAATAGCGTGTCGTTGTCGTCGTTTTCGACGTTGTTGTCGTCGTTTTGTGCTTTATTATTGCTGTTTCTTTTATTGACGTGATTATTATTGTTTTTGCCAAAGTATACTTAATCCCATCAAACGAGCGATTTTATTCAACGCACTAAATTGATTTGACTTTCAATGCAAATATAATTAGCATTTATTTTCAGTCTTTCGAAGTGGCCGTTGTCTAGCCGAGTTCTTGGTGTATATTTTGTGTCGTAAGATTGCTGTAAAGTGTCCTTGTCGCAAGCGATTAAATTGATACGTGCGCGCACGTGCGCGGCTGTGGTGTGTCGAAAAGGCTTTCGGTAGGGAAATGAGGAAGAAAGAAGTAAGCAAAGCGTTCCGTTTTTCAGCGACTGATTATTGCACGATAATTTGTGTCATTGCCAAAATGGTCGATGTTTATTACGTTTTAAATATGCTCGGACACCACTCTCAATTTCCAGGTTTATTCCCATAAAATCTATCAGAGTGCGTAGTGGAAAAAGTGCTGAGGCTCGCGTTTGCCGCCGCCGCTACCACAATGCTCTCTTACTCTCAATAGAGTCGAAAAGTTTCGTAGCAACAAATTTACCGCACTTAATTTCACCCCCAAAATGTAATACAAATGAGTAAATGCGAAAAATGGTCTTTAATGGTTATTGTTGTGAATGTTTTATTGATGTTACTGCTGCCGTTATTCAGCGATTTGGAGTGCTGTTGTGTCGGGGACCATTTACCTCTAATTCAACGTTTTTCGCATTGATTTAGTGTATGTGTGCTTGATGAAAAGTGCCGCTTGTTACTATGTTTGGTTGCTGTTTTCGCTTTTTCGAATTGGAAAATTTTCATCATTTATTTAAACTCTCTTCATGGGTACATGTGCGGACAACACGCGTGTATATATATACGAAATCTATGAGGGTAAGTGTAGTTAGAGTATGTGTGTGCTTTTGTTTGGCTTGTGTGTACTGGCAAAATGAGCGCCGCGTATGTCTATTCCTATCCACCTCCTATAAAAATGACTTGCCTCTGTTCGGCTTGATTCGGTTATTGTTTGTAATGTACATAATTATACCATAAAAGCGCGTGTAAATCGTGTAGCGTGTTGACACTCTATGCGCTTAATGTGCGAAGCACGATCTGCCTCACTAACTTGCTCTCGATTACTCTTTTCTGTGCGGTTGTTGCCGTTGTTGTCATGTTCGCAGACGTTGTTGTTATTGTCAGAGCTCACTCTTTGTCGTCGTTACAGCTTCATAAACGATTTCACTTATGATGCGGTTTTTATCACTCAGTGTCTTGTGTATGTGCATGTGTAATTGTCCAATAAAATGTCTATCCCTCTGGCAAACACATTCAAATATAACAGAGACAGACAGCGGCCGTTGAGCACGTTGACGAATGACAAATTGATTTAATTATGAAAAATTATTAATTGCAGTTTATTGTTTATATGCGTGAGTGCACACCACAGCGACTACTTCATTCATACTTTAATGAGCTTTAACACACACACACACACACGGAAAAATGGAATGGCTTTTTCGATGCCGTGCCACGTTTCGATCTACACCACTTCTGTCTGTTCGTACGTTCTCTGTCTGTTCGGCTTATAATACCAATTAAAGTCAGGAACTTATTTCTGTTTGTTTTTTTTTGTCCTTCTTCTAAATATCGTTAAGTTGCAGTTTTTAGTTGGTTTTAGAGTTTCACACTGAATCTTCTTATTCTTTGCGCCGTAGTTCACTGTTAATGTAGCGCATTAGGGACTTTATGGATGCTGAATTTTTATGCAATTGTTATGTGTGAACACAAGTGCACCATGTGCAATGAACAATGCTGTCCCACAATTTTCACTCAATAAACACAGTGGCGTCACCACTATTTGTATCGTTGTCCGGCTGACGTTTTCTCTGTGCTTGATCTGTGTGTTTCACGTTCCGTGCGCGTTTCGCTTTTTATGCACACTCGGTTGAACGCCGGATTTTTTTTTTGTATTTAAATAAAATGTGTGTGAAATACAATTGTTTGGTGGGAGGAAAACTTGATTCGTGTGTGTGTGTGTGTTTTTCCTCTCGTTCCTGGTTATCCGTTAAATATTATAATAATTCACACAAAACGAGGGGATGATACACAATGGGGTCGATAGCCAGCGGGAATAAAATAAAAAGTCATTGCTCACATTCGCGCACATTAAACTCTTTTTCACCAAATTAATTTCAATTGAATTTTTCGGTCTATCAATTTATTTTGAACACATATACTTTTTGCCACAGTTATTTGCGGTTTTTCGCTCTCTCTCAACCCGAAATTTTCTGGATTCATCAGTCGTTATCGTTATCACTATTATTATCTCAAACGCTCGCGCAAATTATTTGGTCGGTTCAAAGTTTGATTGAATTTATTAACTATACATTTTTAATATATATAATTGTTTATAGCCTGTAATGAGAACAGTAATTGTGTTGGTTTTATGTGTGTACGCACAATTTTTTGTCCTGTCTTTTTGCTGCCGTTTTTCGGTCGGCCTGTCAATGAGGCGCCGATGGATTTAATTTTGTTCTGTTTTCGTCGGGCATTCAGCATATAAAATGTTTAATAATTTATTGCGTCAGAGCTCTTTTGTTCTTAGCAAAATGGTTGAAATTTTTTAATTCAATTCTTAGGCTCGATGTTCAAGTGCAATTCAATTAACGAAAACAGCAGTCAATTTTTTGTGTTCTGGATATTTTAACTATTAAATGTTGTAAGCATTCTTTTTTCATCCTCTTGTATGCTCAATTGTTTTTTTTTTTCCCGTTCACTTGATGATTTTCAGCTTTTATTTTTAGCATGAATCTGAGATGGCTTTTGATTATGTTGCCGTTAGCTTTTTTCTGCTTCAGTTTGTTTTAGATGGAACGCGTCAAGGCGAATGCCAGGAGTGGTTGAGTGCTCTGCTGGGCGTGATGTACACGGATAGTTATGTGGAAAAAATTATTAAATCAGGCTATCTGGAAAAAATAAAGTCGAGCGGGGAAAAAATGGTTTAATATCAGAAAAATCTATGTGAAAATGATTATAATACTTTTAATTAGTATGAAAAAAAGGGAATTGCATGAGCTAACGGGCAGTTCATATAATTCATGATCTAAATGGGGGGCAATGCCCAAAAATTGGATTATTATATGGTAATGAATCCTAGCAATTAGAGTTGGCTGACACATTTTAAATTTTTCATCATCAAACAAACGCCAAAAATGAGCAGCGACATTAGTGATGACAACAACAGCAACAGCAACAGCAACCAAAAGAGAGAGAGATAGAAAGAGAGAGGGAGAGTGGGCGAGAGAAAAATTGTTCAAAACAAACAAATGTCAGCCATATGAGAAGCCATTATGACATGCTGAAAGGTCGTAGTAAAGACCACATCGATTCAACTGGATCCATTAGAGTAATTGTTCCTGAACCTCTGCATGCACATCCACTCAGACACAAACACAAACACATGCATATCACATGCGATTTTTATGCTCAATGTATTGTTTTTGTGTATGTCAACATTAGACATATTAATAGCCGAGAAAATACTCTGTAAATATTTATGTTCACTTTCATGTCATCGCAATTCGCTGTTTCGAGCCTTTTCTTTCTGGACATGAACAACAACGGCTAGGATAATAAAGGACAGAAGGCAAAAAATAGATTTCGGCTGAAACATGACATGATTCCTTTGCTTTGGAATCCATAAGGCAAACGATGTCAATTCCATACATGCATATTGAGTCGTCCAGCAAAAAACCCACTTAAATTAGAATGATCTAACACTGGACGAGGAAAAAACTCAACCGCTTAGATGGCAACAACAAAAACAAAAACAACAAAAGCAATGGCAATTCACAATTGTGTGATGTGAGCGCCACTCCGTTCAAGTGAAGTTGCTAAGATTCACATCTTAGGCAACATGAAAATATTCGATGTCATTCAATTGCTTTCTGGTTTCATGCGAAAATACTATACCATATTTACTGTCCCTGAGGTAGATGCATATACCATGCAATGGTTATTTACAAAATAGTAGAACATAAATTTTGCTGATGGCCATCCATCTTCATCGGTGTGTTGTTGAATTATTCACACAATAGTTGCAATCGTTCGAAGACTCATACACACACACACAGTCACAGACACACAATCAAAATTCCATTTTTATACCCTTTTGACCGAAATCACCACACACAGATGCATTCTGTGCAATTACACATTGCAATTCATGTGTGCAGTGACACAGACAAAATCCGAGCGAGATGGAAAAGTTAATTCTTCGATACATGGAATTGTGTGTGAGACACTGGGAAAATAGCTAGAAATTGGGCCAAACATTTTTTTTGTTCTGATCAAATGACAATCAGTCAGCCGGTGAGCAGAGTTTGTTTGAGTTTCAACCGAAAGAATGGTCAGTTCATTGGATCAAATTTCAGGCAACATCAAAAAATAGAACGTGAGTGAGAGAGGGGGGAAATGCACATTTTAAATTGATATCGGGTCAAATCGATTCATAATTTTTATTGTCTGCTTTTGTGCCATTATCATCTAGTCGCTTGTGGGTTTTTATTCGTTCAACCTTTTTTGTGGTCGTTGATTTGCTGGAATAGAGAGTACGAGAGAATGATAGCGTGCTTTCGTTACAAGCGACAATAATTTTGGTTGTAACCGAAATGATGACACATCAACATCAGTCTCTCGTGTTTTTTGCGGCCAACATGTCTCTGTGTGAATATGATGGAGAAAATGTGAATTTGGTGAAGTGAAATGTGCAAATGACAAAATAAACATGAACAAAATTTTGGGTAAATGGATTTTCTCTTTCTCTCTCTCTCTCTCTCTCTCTCTCGACGATGTCGGCGACCGCGCGCGCGTTTGATGGCGATAGGCACAATAATACACAGTGTCCGGGGCCGCACAAGCACTGATTCACATTGCTATTTGAACATTGAAAGATCGCATTCGCAGCGAACACATTAACATTGTGAAGTTAATCCATCATTATTATGAATTATTATTTAACGATGGTAGCTAAGACAAGCGCTTTGCGCTACCGAAATTAAGCTTAAATAGGATTTGACAAAAGGGAGATGAGAAGGGCAGCACTGGGAAAAAAAGTGACTACCGACCTCTGGGACCCATGGTGTGTATGGATGATTGGAAGAGGGAAATAACAAGCGAAACGACAGATTAGGCGACAGCGGCTTGTCACCACCAAAAGCATCACCGCATACAAAAACTCTGAAAATCATAATGACACATAGCTCTCATGTTGTACACACATTCATCGGCATGTGTGTGTGTGTGTGTTTTTATCTGGTTTTAAATGATACAAGCGATTTTGCCCAAGCTCAAGCAAAACAATGCCAATAGTTGTTGAGAATTTGCTTGGCAAACACAGAGACGCAGAAAAACAATCGATTCGGGCAGAGGAACAAGTGTGTGAAGGGAAGAAAAGACAGAGCGAAAAAGAAATAGAAAATGTCATGATGGCGACCGTTGCTGGTGCTGTCATCGTCGTCGGCGATAACAATAGTATATGAAGTAGTATTTGCGACGTAAACACACACTTGTGTGTGGCGCAAGCCTGCGACAAACAGAAAGACGCCAAAGAAAAAAAAAAGCTGAAGCATTACAATGGCAAAAGTGAAACTATTTTACAGTCTAATCGATAGACATGTATCTATCGTGAAGAGTCCGCTGCCCTTTTTTTCTCTACCGCCTCACACAATATTTTTCGGCATGGCAAAACAGGATTACTTGGCTCAAGCACTCTTATACTTTCCCCCTTTCTCTATCTCTCTCTTCTTCTGTCTTCGTCATCGTCGGCGTTGTTTTTCCTCATTGTCCACATTCCATCTCGTATTTATATATTCTGCTGTCCGTTGAGTGAATAATGGACTCTTAATGGTGATTCTTGAATACACACAAACTTTTCTGATAATAATAATCATTCTATTATCTATTTCTTTTTCTTTTGTTCTATGCACAAGCTCGGTTGTTGTTTGGTGCCGTTTTCTGAATGGGCTGAATATTCTATTTTTGTGGTTTCTTTTTGCTGTTGTCGTTGTTGTTATTTACTTGGTTTGGTTCTCTCGGGTTTTTTTAATACCATTTTCCATTTAGTTGCGCTTCAGTTCTTGAAAAAATTCATGCGTATGTGTGCACCACACCAAAACGTATTGTTTAACCGATGTCTTGTGCGCTCAATATCTTTGCTTTTGTTTTCGTTTTTTGTTTTCTTTTTTTTTGTGTCGAGGACAGTTTTTTTCTGCCGTATCTGTGCTTTCATAGCAAAATATCAATATGAATAGGGAAAAATGATGGTCGGAAGCTAGAAATATATTAAAATCAGTGGCTAGGCATTCCGTTTTGAATGTGATAGAACGAAAAATAATCACGGTTGAGCATGCATTGAGTTTGACTCATGGAAACAATACAATCGAAAATTACAAGAGAAATAACGAAAGAAGGCAGAAAAAAAAACCATCAAAACCACCACCAGCAAAATACTATACTTCCATATTTCCTTAGCATGTTTTTGGTGGTGGAAATGGTTTATGGAGCGTCGCGTATTGGACTATGAAACTTTGGATTGCATCGCCAAATAAAAACAAAAGGAACCAATCATACTACGAAATCCCTTGTGCACATACACACCATCCAAAATCGAAATAGACACACAATTCATAGAAAAAGTATAAATCTTTTGGTATTTAACAAAAATACCGAAAGCACATACACATAAAATTACAAAATGATAGGAAAAACGATGGCCATGGCAGAAGAAAAAAATACAATTTCGCCCCGGACGAGAAATGATTTTCTATTGTTATTGTTTTGTGAAAATATAGCGCAGCAGCTTTTATGGCATGGCTTTTTGTTTCACCATATGCTGCTGCTGCTGCTGCTGCCGCTTCTGCTACTGTTACTACTGGCTTCATATGAATGGATGAACGTGTACAATATCGTTTCTGTTCGGAAAAGTGTGGAGAGTAAATGGCTAAGGGTATGTTACTTGGCCTCTTACACTCCCATTCTCCTTCACTTGCCAGAGACGTACAGACTTCGGTTATCCCGTATTTACAAATTTTCATTGTGATCTCAAAGCTTAGGCCAGTTCGAAGCGGCCAACAATTCTCCCTGATGTGTTGTCGCACATATATACACAAATACCATTGAATAGATACCAAAAAAATTCACAAACTTTGATCGTACCACACTTTTTGTTCTCGACGAAAAACTCGTGTTGCTCCGTTTTTATTTCAGTCTTTGGCCATTTTTGGCGTGGCTCAAAAACTCTTGGCAATATGTGTGTTCGAATGTGTATGTGTGTATAGTTTTATTTTAGTTTTGCATTTTATTTCGACCATCATTGCCTTGTTTGTCCGTTCGTTCATTGACTAACCAATGCTTATCAAATTATATTGATAATTTAATTAGATGGGTGCTGATATTGAAATCAACAATGGAGAATACGATAGAATGATTCCTGTTTGTGTATGTGAGAGAGAGATAGAGAAAAATACCCAAAAACTAAGCATGACCAACCATTTCAACCGATTGTCCAGAAAAAGCATTCATATAAGCTTTTGTTAATAGTGTACGCTCGCTTTTTTACTTCTATTCCAATATCTCTAGTAAATACGCTTTAAAGGGATCTTAATACTCCATCGAGAGTCGACTGTACGGGATGTAATAAAAAAAAACAAGGAAAATTATTTTGCATTAGAAGTTTTCGGTATGTGGATCCGCATTGACCATTCCAAAAAAAAGTCATGTAAAGGGTTTTCACAATCCATTTCCATCGCTTTATGATTTTTATTACCCACACAATCCAAAGAAGGGAAGAAACAATACTGTCAACAGTCTATTCAGTCGTTCGCAGAAACTTCAAAAACAATGGTCATAAAAGAGCAATCACACACTCGTAATCGTAATCAAAAATCGAACTTCTTCATTATTTATT